CGAGGCCAAAAAGGGGGCGTTTTATAGGCCTAAGCATTGCAGAGATATGACGATTTCATATTTTTTCCCAAAACATGATTTTTAGGTAAAATCTCAATAGACATTGGATGTCATGCAATATGTTGTATTAGAGAGAATATAATTGTATATGTTCTGAACTATTTGACAAAAAAAATCACTTTAATAAACTAAAGTATTAAAGATATATAGCAATTTCATGTTTTTTAGTAAAAAACATTGGATTAGATTGGATTTATTCAGTGTAAACACCAAGGATAGCCCACGAAAGTCTAGAAGAAGACCTATTTCCAGTGGGGTCCTTCTGGTGATGATTGGGCAGTACACCAGGAGACAATCCCAGGGCTACTCTTTTCCGAAGAGTGTACTGCATTCTTTAGCGTGTACATGGGCCATAATGCACACGGGACCAACGGCTTAAACGTCTCATCCGAAAGATGCAGGGCTCGCAGAATCAGGTGCCCGACGTCCCGCGGCAACCCAAAATTTACGTCAGGCAACTCAAATTTAAAAGGGTATGTCCCGACCGGCAACCTCTAAAATATCAGATGAATTGCAGTGACTGAAATACAAACTATACTCTACACAATTAGTCACATAAGAACGAATGGCCAAGCCACCGAGATTGTGTTTGTGTGTGTGTAATAAACTGTGTGAAAATTCGGTAGTATGGAATGCTATCTCTCGATCGTGGCAGACAGCCAAAGATAGAGACGTACGGCCGCCAACAACAAAATGCAGCAATACATGTGTTTGTGTACAATCGAGCGTATGGAAACTCGTTGGAATGAGTTTCCCATGCCTGTCTAGAGCTGGCGGCATCCTTTGTACGCAAACCCAACTAGTCTAGCGCAAAAGCAGTTCTCTTGTTTCAACCATAGAGGAGATACCAACTCGTTGTACTGGTTGAAGTAACAGATATAAACCGAGTTGGGAATACATTTACAATCTGATCTTGTATTATTTGTAACTTTGAATTATTAAGCTATGGTGGTAATTCAATAAAATCGGAATTCATTAAATTATTTACATTCATGCTTTTTTTTTTGTGTTTTGTTATGTATGAATTTTATAAGTCAATTAAATCGATTGGTTGTTTGTAATAAAGAATGCTGAATTATGTTTTCTCCATTTTGCAATATGATTATAATAATAATAACTGATGTAATAACAGTAATAGTAGTAGCAATAATAATAATAATATTAATAATATACATCAATAAAATACATTAGTAATAATAATAATAATAATAAAATAATAAAATAATAAAATAATAATAATAATAAATAATAATGTTCCATAGATTTATAATAATTTTACATTTAATTTGCATTCAATGTTACTTCGGAACACGTTCGAATAATGCATACAATAATAAGTAATAATAATATAAATATGATTAAATAATTTAACTGTACAGTTTACAGTGCAAGGACCACCCGAGGATCGTACGGTAGGTATTAATTGTTTATATGATGTACAATATCTTATACAGTAGGGCCCTTAGACCGTGGGTTGAGGATCGAAAACGTTCAATTCTGTGACCCACCAATCCGGGCTACCTGGCTTTTGTACAAAAATGTCAATACTATTAAATTGTAACATAATTTGATTGTCGGCAATCGTGAATTTGGGGAAACTGTAACCAAAAATGAGAATTTATATCAAAAGTTGCTACGTGACTATAGCCAATCAGAAGACGACTAACAATGAAGTTTGGCTTAGCTGCATGGCCCTCAGCCAATCACAAACTACCTTCTATGCCGTTTGTCCAATGTAAATAGTAAACAACACACTCCACTTGCAAGTATGG